TTTAGTGCACTAGATAATTTTTGAATGCCTATTTTTGGACTTGAAATTATTTGTTTTTCAATAAAATTACTACAAAATTTAGTAGTAGTCCATTGATTCACTCATTCACATTACCTTGTATGATTAGTATAACTATTATTTTCTTTTATTGTTAATAAGCCTAAGCGTCACACGATTACATTCAAACTGATGAGTCCGTGACACACCCTAAATCATAGTATTTACGGTGTTAAAGTCATATTGATACAATACCACCGATTGGTTTAAAACTAGTTATCTGTACGTAATGAACGAATCTAGATAATCTCAATAGGTAATGTTTTAAATATAAGTTTAGAATTAGGACAATATCAAAGTATCATCATAGATGAATGATTTGATAAGTACACGCTGTGCATTATGCTCATGTTTTTTGGTTGATAGATGGACATTTCTACTTTATACTGGTCTGTTTCACGTGCATGAGAGTTCTGAAGCAAGAGTTTGTACTCAGTGAGAGAAGTAAGCTTCCCATACATGGTTAGATTGTTGGTTGACTAGCTACCTTAATAATAAACATGTGATCACCGATGAATGGGTTTGTGATAGATCCCCGAATTTCTTATCAATTAATTATAAAATACTAGAAGGATTTGATTTCGACCAATTTGGTCTCATGTTCTGTTACGGGTATGAGAGCGGTTGTCAATTCTCGGCTGTCCACACCGTGAAAGGTTGTTTCTTGAGGGACCTGAAAAAGAAGACAGATTAGTGTTGGTCTTAGAGACCTGGATGCGTGACCGCAGAGCCCAAGGGACAACTGCTTGAGGCCGGTCACGCACGGCCTTTTTATGAAGGGTTTTTTTAGTATTAGCTCCGCTCTTGAAAGCCCTTAGTGGGCACCCTTACCGCCGGAGACGGAAATCCGTGAGGTAGGGTGAGGTGTGACATTTTTAGGGTCGACCTTTTCTAACCCTTCCTTGTGAGAAGGCAGCATCGCTGCAGATGCTTGTTATCCGAGGGAAACACCTTACTGCTGTCACACCCTCCATCACAGTCAGCAGTACGACTTCGCCCTCAGACCTTGAGTAGCTGTTTTTAGTCTCATCGTTCTCCGATCGACCTGCATGGCATGGTAGAACCTTCAGGAACATATATTCTAGCCAGTATAGCTCGGTTGGGTCATCACGATAGGCAAGCCCGACCAGCAGGTCAAGGTAGCAGCTACGGTCGGGAAAGTACTAGAAATCAGTTGTTTAATAGATACATGTTGAAAGTACATACACTCATTCCCGAATAGTTAACTTCCGAAAGTTCATCGCCTCCTCCTTCCACGGTGTGGGAAACCGGAAAGTGACATCCGCTCTCATACCCTTAAAAAACACATGCGGTCAAATGGGTCACTCTTATTTCCACGACCAACCATTCTTTCATTTGTTAGTCAGCTCGCGCCGCTAATGCAAACGTTTTGAGTTCACAAAACATTATTGCCAGGTTCCTTTGAAATTCCGTCTGTAAACTACTTGTTGGAGCTGTTAATGTTCGAACCTTGTATCAATTAGGGCAACAGGCTTCAGTTAGCTAGAACTATGGGATCTCGTACCATTGATGTATGATGTGTCTCCGAAACGGGCATACAGGATACTATATTAGAATCTTTAATTTGATTTTACCTTGTCCAGATAGAGAATCAACTTGGTTTACCCTCCAAGTATCTGGAAGTCCTGCTGCTGCTTCCCGTGGCCTCGCTGACGTAGGTATAGTACTAAGTCCTAGGGCAGAACTAGCTCTCTTAGACCGGATTCCGGTAAACAATCGCTTATGCGCAGTCCGACTAAACGGGACAGTAAGTACTAGTTAAGATAGGAAAACTCGCCATAAGGTTGTAGAAATCGATGGTTAGATACCTTGAATGACATGGCACGAAATCGTTTGCAATGGCGCAGATTCATTCATTCTTTGTCTTCCCTCATTTTCTAATCTTCTGAATTCCGCATCACCTTCATATTCGACAGGTCCAGCCGATTGTGAGGTTCTGTGGTATAGTATGCCATTTAAAGGTGTACCAAAGAAAGTACATTAACCTTATATAGGCTCTCTACTCGAACACTACTGGTCGTGTTAGAGCTTATGGTGAACTATCATCGGAATTGATTACTACGAGTGGTGCTCGTGAGGGCTGTCCACTCTCTCCATTTTTGTTTAACTTTATCACTGATGTGCTGTTAGATACGACACTGAGTCATGTCGCTAGGTGCAGACTACCTGATTGAGGTCCACGAGACAATGTAACCGACGGTTAGAGACCTTGAACACTACATGGCTCAAAACCGTTTGCAATGGTATCCACTATACAATACCTTCAAACTATAATCTCTCCGACTAATGTTAATACTTCCACTTCCTCTAACACTATTGGATTTGAACTGACAGTTGCGTCTTTGTGCTAATGTGGTACGGGAACCCAAACTGATATATATACGTACAAAGTTCTGTGTTGTATCTGTCTCTGAACCGGCATTAATAAACCTAGAAGAGCTTCAAGCGGAGTTGTATTTATTATCTACAACGACCTTAACTGAATAATTATAAAAAATACTCGATGCATTTTTTTACAACATAAATAGTTCAAGTTATTGTCGGTTCTTGTTTATTACGAATTATTCGGATATTTGTCAGTGTTTTCTTATTTCGCCTTTGTTGTAAACTTATGCAAACTGCTTAGTGTTTTTTCAATTTACTTATTAATTGTGCTTTTGTTTTCTGGTTGTCTTTTCCAACCAGTTTCTTTTTACTGACTAAACAAACTTCTGTTTGAACTTATCGTCATCATCATCATCTAAGCATTGCTTTGGCATCAAAATAAGTTAAATGTGTAATCTATATTACAAATCAATTAATCAGTGCCCAGAAGCTTACTTTTTTTATCTGAGAGTTTGTGCCCAAAGCACTTGAAGTCACCTGTCTCTAATCAGTTTGTTTGATAGTAATCGATGGTTAGAGACATGGCTCAAAACCGTTTGCATTCATTCTCTCAAATCCTAACCTTCTGAATTCCTCATCACCTTTATTGTTTTAAGTTTATTTCACTAGTTTCTACTTCTTGAATAAGTCTCATCAGTGCCGATGGCCTAGTGACTAACGAAGTCTCAGCACGGATACAGAAAGCTCGATTGGCTTTTGCCGACCTGCATCACTTATGGCGTAAGCGAGATATCCGTTTGCTGACTAAAGGACGAGTGTACTTTGCTGTAGTTCGCTCCGTCCTACTTTATGGCTATGTAACATGGCCAGTGAGAGTAGAAGATATTCGTATGTTAGTGGTTTTCGATCATCGGTTTCTCCGAAGCATTGCTCGCATATCCTGATACAGCCGAGTGAGCAACGCTGTTATTAGGAAACGGGTGCTAGGCAAGGACGGCAGATCAATGGACGAAGTAAAGAAACCTCGTCAGTTGAGGTGGTTGGGACATGTGCTGCGTATGCCTAACCACCTACTGCCACGACAAGCTATATTTTGTAGTGTAGGAGTAGGTTGGAAGAAAGCCAGGGGCGACCAAACCAAAACATGGCAGAAATCTATGAAGTCATTGACAAGTGGACTTAGCCATGTCGGTAGTTGTCGACTACCTGGTTGGGGTTCGCGAGATGATAATAATCGATGGTTAGATACCCTGAATGACATGGCTCAAAACCGTTTGCAATGGCGCCGGTGCATTTATGCTTTGTGTTCTCTCAAATCTTAATCTTCTGGATTCTTCAACACCGCTAGTTTAGACTTTCTAAACTTATGTCACCGAAACATACTTCGTGGATAATATCTTCTAATCCTAACCTCTTCGATTACTTCTAATACCTTTACACTACCCCTACTCTACTATTGGATTTGAATTGACAATTATATCTCTGTGCTAATGTGGTATGGCAACATGAACTGATGGACGTACTTACGTACAAAGTTCTACGTTGCTTCTGATTGACTGACTTCTTGAATAATATCGTCAAACACTCAAATTTCCGATTACTACTAATACCTTTACACTAACCCTACTCTACTATAGGATTTGAATTGACAAATTACATCTCTCTCTCTCTATGTGCTAATGTGATATGACAACTTGAACACTGGTTGTGCGTACGTATGTACGTACGTACGTACGAAGTTCTACGTTGTCACTACACTGACTGACTGACTGACTGACTGACTTACTGACTCAACTTCATTCAACTAATACTAACAACAAAAATAGATGTTAGATAGTATATGACAAAAAAACAGATGTTTGATTATCGGGGTTACTTTCTCTCCAGTTTTGTATATTATTTTACAAACTGATGATGATGATGATGATGATCATGGTGATTTGTAATCAAATTAATATTGATATTGATCATAATTATTAATATTATTATTATTACTATATTTGTTTTTAAAAATTTTCAAATTAATTTAACAGACTGAATTATTTGAATTACAAAATGCTATTAATCAATGTATACCAAAACATCTTGTCATATCGGAACATTGTTATTTACAACGACCACCTTCTCTTTGTTTTACAAATACTACTAATAATACTACTAATGAAATAATAGCAGCAGCAGCATCACAAAAATACAATGGTCATAATAATAATTTGAAATTGACTAATAATGTGGAATTATGTCGACGTGTCTCATCCACATCGCTGAATAATGATGGTGATGGTGGTGGTGGTGGTGGTAATAAAACCAGAAAATTATCAAGTGGTGAACCAATTCAAGATGGTGAAAGTGAATGCTCATCATCTAAAGCAGGTTTTATTGTACGTGTGTTTGATTGACTTTATCTGTTTATTTATTGTTGTTATCAATATGTAGAATATTTGTGTAAAATACTAATCTCAGTTTGTAGTTTCTATCAACAAAATTGACTCTATAATTAAGCAATACGATCATTTTGGAGCCAGAGTTTTGGAGTTTTTGTGTTTTTTTACACATTTGAAATCATCAATCAGTCATCAATCAATCATCAGTGACAGTGCGCATCCACGAAGGTCCCAGGTTCGAATGCTGCGAGGTACAGGAGTCATGGATGCGCACTGCTGATGAGTAGTCCCATACCAGGACGTAACGGCCGTCCAGTGCTTCCAGGTTTATAATGGTGTTAGTCTAACAATGATTGATACGATCATTAGAAAATCTATCGTGAAAGATTAAACAATTATTTATACCACTGAACAACCTCATGGCTATGTACCGAATTCTACTGTATGGACGTGATCAATATGAATCGATCATGTCAGAGTAACGTGTGTGTATCTGAGATGACAGTGGGATGGTCGTTTCACTATAAATAAAGCTTATTGATTGAAGTCAGATTGAAAGTCTTAGGTTCAGTTTTTAGTGTGTTTTTCGGGTGCAAACCTCGGGATAGTTTCATTCTGGAGTGAACCAAGCATAGAGTTCTCTCTGATTTACAGGTTTTGTAACTGTGTTTACCTTACCAGTTAGTCAGAATCCCATG